ACCAAGAACTGTGATCTAGAATGCAAAGCTCGCTTGTTTCCAATCCCGAGAGTTGTCCATCCTCGCCTGAAACAGACGATTAGTGCCATGAGTTAGTGAAGCAAATTACAGAAACACTGCACAGTTATTCACAAGTCAAAACGTTTTCATAGCGGCCGAGAATATCTAGCTAGCTAGATGTAGCTAGCTCGGGGCCGGTGTTAGCCTATTCAGCCTAGCATGGCTAGCTTGATCTACTGAGCAAATAAAAGTACATCTGAGACCATTATTGTGCAGATTAAAACCCCAGTGCATGTAGTTGATTTTACCTTCGTCGTGGTCGTCATCGTTGGCCACTGAATCCGCCGTTTGTAGTCCTGAGTTTCTTTATTTTTAGCCGGCTGTGCACGATTCCCAGGTCGAGTGAAAGCTACTGAACTGGCTTCAGTAGCATTCCCTGGGTCGCGTCCTCGGCGTAGATCTCCAGAAGCGCCGACACCTCCTCATCATTTCTTGATGCTTGCCATAACTGCTTTCAAAAACAAACACAACGCTCCGTTGGTGCGTTGGGTTTTTGTAGCGAGGAAAAACAATGGCGTCTCCACACAACATTTTCACAGTTGTACGGGCGTGGTTTGCAATTCGCCCAGCCAATCAGCACTGGGGCACTTTTGGGGCACTTTTCACCCACAGAAAAGTACGCTCTCCCAGCGGGCTCTAAAAATGGGGGTAAAAGTACCCGAGATTAAGTACGATTTTTGGTGTGAACGCGACATAAGGGGTACTCACGGAACTAAACGCGAAAAGTACGGTGAAAAGTACTCCGGTGTGAACGCGGCTATTGTATATAAGTGCTTTGCAGTCTGTGCCGGAAGATGTGTAGGCTTTCGTCTGTCCTGATGTCAATGGGGAGCTCATTCCACCATTTTGGAGCCAGGATAACAAACCCACGTGTTTTTGCTGATGGGAACTTGGGTCCCCCTCGCAGTGCGGGTGCAGCGAGCCGTTTGGCCGATGCAGAGCGGAGTGCACGTGCTGGGGTGTATGGTTTAACCATGTCCTGGATGTAGGAAGGGCCAGATCCATTCACAGCATGGTACGCAAGTACCAGTGTCTTGAATAGGTAAACAATACTGTAGAATATATTATTTGTCAACATATGGCTGACATTAATGCATCTTACACTAAAATGTCGAAGTTAAAGTGCAATAATCACTCTTGTTTTTGCTCTCTTTTGGTCTCTACCAACTCCTGAAAAATAGACTTAGCCGTTAAATCCTCCACAATGTTCTCCAGCTAATTGCTTAAAATTATAATGGATTCTTTCTTGGTCCATGCTACACCCTTCAACCAATTTTACAGAAAATCGGGCTGGTAATTTTTCCGTAATCCTACTGACAAACATTCAAACAAACCCAAACACTTAACCACCTCGGCTCTGAAGGAAGATAATAGGTTGTGAATAGGTAGACAATACTGTAGAATATATTATTTGTCAACATATGGCTGACATTAATGCATCTTACACTCAAATGTTGAAGTTAAAGTGCAATAATCACTCTTGTTTTTGCTCCGATTTGGTCTCTAACAACTCCTTAAAAATACACTGAGCCGTTAAATGCTCCCAATGTTCTTCAGCCAATCTCTCGAAATTGTAATTTTTTCCTTGATCCATGGTACAAACAGTCAAACAAACCCAAACACTTAACCACCTTGGCTATTAAGAAAGTGAATATGTTGGAAATACTGCAGAAGTATACTGTAAAATATATTATTTGTGAATATTAGGCTGACATTAATGCATCTTACACTAAAATGTTTGTGGTTTAAGTGCAATATTTACTGTTGTTTTGGTCTCCGCCAATGCTCCCCACTGTTCTTCAGCCATCTCTGGACATTATAACGGCTTCTTCCTTGGTCCATGCTACACTCCTCCACCAATTTTGAAGAAAATCGGGTCAGTAATTGTTCCGTAATCCTGCTGACAACCAAGCTTTAACAAGTACATTATATTATTATATATATCATAAGTGAACTCAAAGCTGATATACATGCATCGTACACTAACTTTTTTATTTTGAAGTTACTCTTTTCGTTTTGGTCCCTACCAACTTCTGAAAAGAATCCTCTTAGCTGCTAAACGCTGCCCAATGTTCTCAAGCTAATTGCCATCTTTGTTTTTCTGCAGTTTGGTGCTGGGCATGGAGTGGAAAGTTCATTCAATACCACCTTCCCATTTTGCCCTAAAACTCCCTAATGAGTGCAGTAAGTGGGACCAAATCATAGAGGGCATCCAAACCATTGCAATTATTCGCAGGGTCTCTGAGTTGTGTAGTTATTCTCTGTCAGGTCATACATTTGAACAAACCCTTTCACATCACAAAAGTTTTATGATTGCATAGTTTGAACATTTAGCTTTTTAATGTAACAACTACCCGGTGTGCTGTTGAAATGGTTCTGAAAAGTTGGGTTTGGTTTGTTTAAATTTTAGAAAGTATTTTCCACATCGACCTTCTGTTCATGAAATAGTGAAAGTGCATCCTGTGATTTGATCATCATCAGTCCATCAAAATAACACACATGCACACAAACTGCAAAACTTCCTGAGAAACAAAGTTATGCGATTGGACGAGGGTCCTGTAAGAGCACTGTTTTTTGGTGCATCCTGCAAAAATAAAATTACCCAAATTGTTTTTAATGATATAATGGATAAAAAGTGGTGGTGAAAGCAAGAAGCTTTGGTCGTGTGTTCCCTGGAAGATGCATCATTTTGTTTTTGTAAGGATGCTTCATAGTTAACCCAAAAAATCTAATACACAAACAATACAGCAGGGCTATTCAATTGGCGGCCCGCGGGCCAAATCCGGCCCCGGGGTGATATTTACTGGCCCTTTGAGTATAATGTTAAAAAGTAATCAATTTTTTTTTTTAAGATTTTTTTTTTTTTTTTTTTTGTGCCATAGTGCCTTTATTCCAGAGAGGGTGTTACATTGAGAGATAGAGGGGTAGACAATGCCTGAAAACTTCGACGGGCTCGGGTTTCGAACCCACCTACTATACTGTAGTGACAACTCCTGTCATTGATTGCATCTCTGCGTGAATGATTAGATCATTTCACCTAAATGAAATCAAATGAAACATGAATACAGCTTTAAAACTCAAAACCAAGGAGATTACATTTGTACACAATCAATAAAGTTTTATTGTCCTCTCGTTTCAAAGCATGCAAGACATTACTTGAGTCATATCTTTCCGACTTTTTACAATTATGAATAACTAATAATGTATACAAATGCCCTTTTACACAGAGTGGTGCAGGGATGATAACTTTTTGTAGACCGAACCAAAAGATAGCATCTCCTTGGTTCCTTCGACTAGAATTGGGAGGGATGAAACCCTCTAATGGTCACACATGCAGAGCACACAGCACACACAGTGACATGTGTTCTCTGCTTTTAACCCATCCTAGAACCAGGAGTCTAGTATTAGGAGCAGTGGGCAGCTATTGTACAGCGCCTGGGGAGCAATGGGAGTGAGGGGGGAAGGGGGATGTCCGGTGCCTTGCTCAAGGGCACTAGAAACCAATGGAATGTTTTAATTGGATTTTGGATTATTGCAGAAAATAACATCTGTTGTGAACACACGTCTATGATACTGACACGTTTTGTTCAGCAGGATAATCTCCACATACTGTATTAACACCACGCTATGATTTCTGAAGTAGAAAGCTAACATTGGGCTATAAAGGAACCACAGCACGGTCACATGACTTCACATCACCACCGCTAAGCTAAAGGCGGCTAATGTTGGGCGTGATGACGTTTAGTCGTCTCATTTAGACACTTGTTAGCAACCGCCGTTTTTAAATCCACAGGTAGGGTATTTTACTGGCGTATTTTATGTCCAAAAACTCAACTTTGAGTCATTTTGAGTCTATTTGTATTTAATTTGTGTGTCTTTGTGGTTGGTTTGCCACTTTTCATAGAAGCTGTGAGACTCTTTTTCTTCTGTTTTGAATCACTGTAGTTGTTTTGTACACATTAAAGCTTCAGACATTCACCAGTGGAGAATTGACTGTCATTTTTTATGTCGTAAAACATACCGACACAGATCTTATTTCAGGCATCTAACCAATAACCCTTTAACTTCAAGACGAGGGACTCCTAGTGCTCCGACTAATTTCCAGGTTTTAGGACTCATTCCTGCACCCAGAGGTGGGAAGTAGTGGAGTACAAATACTATTTAAGTACATGTTTCTGGTATCAGTACTTTACTCCACTACTTATTTTTCTGACGACTTTTCACTTTTACTTCTTACATGTTGAACACAAATACCTGTACTTTCTACTTCTTACATGTTGAACACAAATACCTGTACTTTCTACTTCTTACATGTTGAACCCAAATACCTGTACTTTCTACTTCTTACATGTTGAACACAAATACCTGTACTTTCTACTTCTTACATTTTGAACCCAAATACCTGTACTTTCTACTTCTTACATGTTGAACACAAATACCTGTACTTTCTACTTCTTACATGTTGAACTCAAATACCTGTACTTTCTACTTCTTACATGTTGAACACAAATACCTGAACTTTCTACTTCTTACATTTTGAACCCAAATACCTGTACTTTCTACTTCTTACATGTTGAACACAAATACCTGTACTTTCTACTTCTTACATTTTCCAAACAGGCTGGTTCCTTTAGTTTGAATGTGTGTTTGGTGGCGTGATCATTATTATTTAGAGTCATTGCGTGCCTATTGATTTGAACACGATCCGTGTATCCATCATTTCCTGGTCTTCTCTAAAGAAGAGGGACCAATGAAAACGTTGTCATGTTGCCGTTGTTCAGCATGGAAACATTCATTAGCTAACAATGACATTATTGTTCTATTAATATAAAGGGAGGTCAGGTACTCTTTAAAACAGCTGCTAGTTATGGGTACTTTTTACTGAAGTACATTTCAAAGCCCTCTTTACTTTGACTTGAGTAAAGAAGTTTAGTCAGTACTTCTACTTTTACCAGAGTATTTTTAAACACGAGTATCTGTACTTGTACTTGAGTAAAGGATGTGTGTATCTCATAGTCTCAGTTTTGTGTGTATGTCTCTGTGTATCCACACGGTGTCTCTCTGTGTTTCTGCAGGTCTGCGCGGCGCAGGAAGCTGTGCTGGCAGTGATTGCAGCTGAACGGCCGGTAGCTGCTGTGCTTCCTGCTGTGAGTGATGAGGTTGGAGCTCTGGCTGAAGCCTTTCCCGCACACCTTGCACAAGTGGGGTTTCTCACCTGAGGGAGAGAGTACACAGAGTTTCAGAGGAAGCATGGACGGATTATTAGAGAGTGGGCTCCTGGACACAGACATCTAAAAGGGTCACAACCTTTCGAAGCAAGACACACAGACTTTATATTTGTAAAGCCTCTTTTTGTTGTTGTTTGGTGTCTCTGGGGTCATTTGGAGGCTCTTTCTGGTTGTTTTGCCCCTTTTCGTAGTCATTTTGAGTCTCTTTGTGGTTGCTTAGTCTGTTTTAGTCATTATGAGTCTCTTTGTAGTAATTATTTTGTCTCTTTTAGTCATTTTGAGTCTTTATTTGGTTTATTTTTGAGTCCCTTTGTAGTTCATTTGTGTGTCTTTGTGGTCGTTTGGCCCCTTGTCACAGTCGTTGTGAGATTCGTTCTGGTCTTTTTGTTCTCTATGTAGTCTTGTGGGTGTCTGTGTAGTTTTTTTATGTGTTCTGTGTTCACTCACCTGTGTGTATGAAGGTGTGTTTCTTCATGTCTGACTTCTGGTGGAACCTCTTCCCACAGTACTGGCAGGGGTAGGGTCTGGTGTCTGAGTGGATGAGCAGGTGTGTGGACAGAGTGGACGAGCGCTTGAACACCTTACCACACACCTTACAGCCAAAGTTACGCTCCTGAAATCACACACACATGTTCACACTGAAGCACTAACCAATGTTTACTACAGAAATGAGTGCTTACAAACTACTTGCTTGCAAAATGGTAATCATTTAAAAGAAAACATAAAAAGCAATTAATGAAAGTGTATGGGTGCAAATAAAGAAAAAATGTGTAGAGCCCACAAGACTTTTATTGTAGGCTCAACTTATTTTCTTCACACACAACTTAAAATATGGAGACATTCCCCCAACTCCAAAAGGGTATTGGAAATTGTTGACGCATACTTTTAAAATGTTTAGCTAAGAACCAGAACCATATTAAATCGAGTAAACATTAAACAACAACAGTGTAAGGGTTGCATTAGCTTATATACTAACTTTACGACAAATTCTCCAATACATATAAATACTTCATGTTTCTAAGAAGTAAAACCAGCACAAAATAAGATAACAGTAGAGGTTATAACTTTAGTAAAAGTATATTTGTATAGTTCTCAGTGTTGGATCAAAGTATTTCTCTTATATATTATGATTCTCAGTGAGTATTGTACCTTAGCTCTACCATAGCTGCCTAACGCTCTGAAGCCAAAGGGCACGGGGTCTCCGGCGGAGGGAGATCGAGGTGAAGGAAGAGAGAGCGCCGTGTGAAGATGAGCCTGAAGACCAACTCCTGAGGTTAAAACTTCTGAAAGAGACTGAGGGAGAAAGAAACTGTGAGAAGATACGACTATCTAAGGTCTTGTCTTTACATATGAAGCTATGGCTATCCCAGTTAGCTTAGCCTAGCATAAAGACAGCTAGCATGACTTGCTATGTATTTAACTGGTCATTTTGCAGCACTTTGTAGTCTTTTTGTGTCATTTTTTGTCATTCTGAGTCTCGTTCTAGTTAATTAGTGTCTCCGTGGTTGTTTGCCCAATTGTATGGTCTTTAAGAGTCTTTTTAGCATCTCTTTGAGTCGTATAATGTTCCTTTGTGTTCACTTAGCATCTCTGGTATGTGGCTCTTTGAGTACAAAGCTTGTGTTAATGAGGTTACGAATGTATGCAAAGACCTGTACTTAGTACCAACGATCACAAATGTCCTCAGGGATTAATTCAACATCCTTTGTTAAACAGCAGAATGCTCTATTGAGGAACAATTGCAGTTAAGAAGTGCAGGCCTTTTTTTAAATAACCATTTAGATCACATGATCTCTCCACAACAAGAAGACATATTGCAATCAAACCCCTTAGTTTAAAATAACTGTACATTTTACATTTACTTTTAATTTAATATGCCATTCCTTGCTCACTTAATGTTAATAATATCCTACTTTTAGATTATGTAAACTGTAATTAGGCCCTTCAATAGTGTTTCATTTGTCAGATAGTTTACAGATTTCTATCTTTACGGTCAACTTGTATTTTCAACCATTATTTTATCGCCACTTTTGTTTGTTTTGAATTATTATGTGTTAAATGTGAAGCACTTTGAATTGCCTCTGTGTCTTAAAATGTGCTATACAAATAAACTAACGTTGAACCTTTCTATATTGAGATGTTTATATTGTATAATTTTTTTTTCTCCTCTTTTTAATGTGCAAGGCCCTGTTTTATATGCTGCTGCAACGAAAGCATTTCCCAAATGAAGGATCAATAAAATATATCTTATCCTAACAACAGTACAACCTACAGATTAGTGATGGCGAGATGAAGCCTTATGGAGCTTTGAAGCTTTCCAGCCAATTGGTTCGCAAAAGGGTTCATCTCATGAGGCTTCATCTGAACACAAACCCCCCTGTTGGTCAAAGACTTGATTTGACATCTCAACAGTGTGCTCCATCTCATACCGAGTTCCCAACGAGCAAAGCCTTAGAATAACTCTATACAACGAACATAAAATCATATTTTCATGTTAACAATATTGTTTTTATTCCAGTTGAATGATTGTGATTGAAAAGCCTAAGGAGGCTGGTAAACATTGCAAAGAGGGATTTGTATTCCTTAATAATATTCGTAAACTTAACCATGTTGTAGCCTGAGAAAGGCTAAACCATATCAAAGACTACATTTATTAACTACATTATCTCACTTAGCTGTAGCATTTATTAACAAAACAAAGATTTATTAACCAGTTGTTGAACCAGGGACCCTGCGGTTGTGAGTAAACTGCTTTCCAGCTGAGCCACAGCCCACACACTGAATCTACCTGAAAACACTGCACCCTATTTATTCCTGTATTTATTCCTGTATTTATTAATTTATTCCTACATTTATTTATGCTTGTATTTATTTATACTTATGACATGTTCCGACCTCTATATAAGTGAGGGTCTGAGCTCTCTTAATTCCATCGTGTCACCGGGCCCGGGTACAGGAGGGGTAATATGGTTCTTATTATACATCCATGGGTAATATGAGCGTTGTGGTTCAACCGATCTGAATCGCTTTCTGAAGCAGTCACGTGGTATCGACTGGCAGCGAGGCTTCGTTTGTCATCGGTGACGTCACTGGCCCAAAGCGATACAAGCCTCGATACAAGCTTCACAAAAAGCTTCGGGGATTACTCGACACACGCTCCGAAGCCTCGCCGCAATACGTAACATCACTACTACAGATGTTATTTTACACACTGATCCCCTGTGCTGTGTCTCTCTGACATGTTGCTAATTCTGTATCACTCTCTGACATGTGGCTAATTCTGTATCATGGCAGTTTCTTTTGTCGTTGTTCACTCATGGTTTCCTCTTTCATGGTTTCCTCTTTCATAACAGCAGCAGATAAGGACGTGTGATGGTTCAGAGGCTTCTCACCTTCCCACAGAGCGGACACTCGCTGACGGGGGATCGCAGGTCAGTGTGTGAAGTGTGTTTCAGCAACATGAAGACCAGACCCTCCAGATGCCGCTCCCTCTCAGACGCCTGCAGAGGAACCTCTCTGCCCTCCACTGTGAGGAGGAAGAGGATGAAGAACATGTGTTTAGTTTATTACAAATCCTTTCTAGATGGATTCCCAGGGTCTTTGATTGGCATTTTGAGCCCTTAGATAGATGGATTGATAGATGGGCGGACGGGCGGACAGACAGGCAGATACTTAAAAAATCCCAAATTGGGAAATTATTTTATTACAGGACCAGTGTGCTCAACATTAAAATACAAATACTTTTAAAAGTGGAAAAGAGTTAACAATTACAAATAAAAAAAATAGTATATCAAATATAAACAATATTCAACATTCAACATTCAACGCCGACAGGACACGGGGGGCTGGCGTTGGCCGGAACGCCAGAACTGGAGCCGGAAACATGGCTGCTGGGGCCAGACATGGAGCCGGAAACATGGCTGCTGGGGCCAGAACCGGAGCCGGAAACATGGCTGCTGGGGCCAGACATGGAGCCGGAAACATGGCTGCTGGGGCCAGACATGGAGCCGGAACCGGAGCCGGAAACATGGCTGCTGGGGCCAGAACTGGAGCCGGAACCAAGGCTGCTTGGGCTCGGGCCAGTCGCTTGGGGGCTGGAGCCGTAGCAGAAAACTTGGCTGCTGGGGAACGGGGTTTGAGGCAGGCATGCAGACTGTCTGGGGAAGTCACAAAGTCCCTTAAAAATTCAGGCAGTGAGCTCCTTAACCAGGGCTTATCTGCAACCTCCCGGCGTGCCCGTGAAAGAGCAGCCTCCTGAGCCTCTTTACCATGAGCCCTCCTCCACTCTCCAAGAATACATAAAAGTTTGCAGGATAATTTGTCAATCTCATCCTCAAAAAATACTGCTAGGTCCATCTTTGGTCTGTTCGTACTGTCAAGGTTGGGGGGAAAATAGGACCCAAATGCAGTATGAGGAGAAGAAAAACCAACAGGGACCAACATGGAGGGTGACAGGACAGACGGACAGGTAGCGTGGACCAGGAGAGACGATGAACAGACATGGAGCACAGGGGAAGACGAGACTAAATACACAGCAGGGTAATCACAGGACAAGACACAGCTGGGCAGGGGAGGCAGAAACACAACAGGTGAACACAATCAGCCAATCAGACACAGGAGGGAAGCTAAAGACAGGAAGGCAAACACAGGAAGTAGGACCAGACACAAGGAGGAAAACATTTCAAAATAAAAGGTGGAGAATGAAAACAACATAAATCCAAAACCATGACAATAATATACTGTATATATGAATGATAGTAAAGTGTACATAGAATCCTGAATAGTGGTAGTGGTAAATGTTCTGTACTTATAACTCTTTATCAGGTCTTCACGACCCCTCAAAGCTTTTTACATACTGCGAGTTATTTAGCTATTCACACCTCATTCATGCAGAGCAGCACCACTTTCTCTAAGGAAGCTAACATTCACACATACACACACACACACACACACACACACACACACACACACACACACACACACACACACACACACACACACACACACACACACACACACACACACACACACACACACACACACACATACACAATACTTCTACTCCACTGCATATATCTGACAGCTTTTACAGATTCAGATTATTAGCTTATTATAAAATCATCTAATAAATCAATACACTCACTGGCCACTTTATTAGGTACAGCTGTTCAACTGCTCGTTAACGCAAATATCTAATCAGCCAATCACATGGCAGCAAGTAAATTCATTTAGGCATTTAGACATGTTCAAGACCACCTGGTGAAGTTCAAACAGAGCATCAAAATGGGGAAGAAAGGTGATGAAAGTGACTTTGAACGTGGCATGTGAGTATTTCAGAAACTGCATACGGCAAAACGACTACAAAGGCCCTCAAAATGACTCTGAAGTGACATAAAGCAACTACCAAAAGAACCAGAAAGACTCATGGCAACCTTTAAAGGTCTCCTATTATACTGTTTTTCATTAATATATCAGTTCATTTTCAGACAGGTTTTTATATAAATGGATCAGGACAAAAAGAGAGAGAATCTTTGTTCCTGAAACTTTCAGAGTCTCTTTACACAGAGGGGACACATGTTGATGAAGAAGAGACATGAAGAAGAGGGGACACATGTTGATGTAGAAGAGACACGAAGAAGAGGGGACACATGTTGATGTAGAAGAGACATGAAGAAGAGGGGACACATGTTGATGTAGAGGAGACATGAAGAAGAGGGGACACATGTTGATGTAGAAGAGACGTGAAGAAGAGGGGACACATGTTGATGTAGAAGAGACATGAAGAAGAGGGGACACATGTTGATGTAGAAGAGACATGAAGAAGAGGGGACACATGTTGATGTAGAGGAGACATGAAGAAGAGGGGACACATGGTGATGTAGAAGAGACATGAAGAAGAGGGGACACATGTTGATGTAGAAGAGACATGAAGAAGAGGGGACACATGTTGATGTAGAAGAGACATGAAGAAGAGGGGACACATGTTGATGTAGAAGAGACATGAAGAAGAGGGGACACATGTTGATGTCGAAGAGACATGAAGAAGAGGGGACACATGTTGATGTAGAAGAGACATGAAGAAGAGGGGACACATGTTGATGTAGAAGAGACATGAAGAAGAGGGGACACATGTTGATGAAGAAAAGACATGAAGAAGAGGGGACACATGTTGATGTAGAAGAGACATGAAGAAGAGGGGACACATGTTGATGTAGAAGAGACATGAAGAAGAGGGGACACATGTTGATGTAGAAGAGACATGAAGAAGAGGGGACACATGTTGATGTAGAGGAGACATGAAGAAGAGGGGACACATGTTGATGTAGAGGAGACATGAAGAAGAGGGGGACACAGGTTGATGTAGAAGAGACATGAAGAAGAGGGGACACATGTTGATGTAGAAGAGACATGAAGAAGAGGGGACACATGTTGATGTAGAAGAGACATGAAGAAGAGGGGACACATGTTGATGTAGAGGAGACATGAAGAAGAGGGGACACATGTTGATGTAGAAGAGACATGAAGAAGAGGGGACACATGTTGATGTAGAAGAGACATGAAGAAGAGGGGACACATGTTGATGTAGAAGAGACATGAAGAAGAGGGGACACATGTTGATGTAGAGGAGACATGAAGAAGAGGGGACACATGTTGATGTAGAAGAGACATGAAGAAGAGGGGACACATGTTGATGTAGAAGAGACATGAAGAAGAGGGGACACGTGTTGATGTAGAAGAGACATGGAGAAGTGGGGACACATGTTGATGTAGAAGAGACATGAAGAAGAGGGGACACATGTTGATGTAGAAGAGACATGAAGAAGAGGGGACACACGTTGATGTAGAAGAGACATGAAGAAGAGGGGACACATGTTGATGTAGAAGAGACATGAAGAAGAGGGGACACATGTTGATGTAGAAGAGACATGAAGAAGAGGGGACACATGGTGATGTAGAAGAGACATGAAGAAGAGGGGACACATGTTGATGTAGAAGAGACATGAAGAAGAGGGGACACATGTTGATGTAGAAGAGACATGGAGAAGTGGATTTTACATAATAGGTGACCTTTGAAAGAGAAACACAACCACTAAGAGACAGAAAAGTTCACTACAGTACATTTAGTACCTGAAGGCCAGGGACCGTGTGTGGGGGCGCTGAGAGACGGTGAGCACGACAGAAAGTCTTTGACCCCCAACATCGGGGACGAAGGACCCCTCTCTGGTTCTTCCTCGGGGGGCTGAGAGTGCTGTTTATAGGATTCCTTTAAATGCACCAACAGGTGAGTCCTTTTATTCCTCACGAGGAACGACCGAGGCATGGTAGACTGGGGGAAATAATGAGATAAAATAAGATATTAATCCCTGTAAGGAAATATAGGTATCAGAGTAACAAATAAGCAGTAGAATCAGAATCAAGTTTATTGCCAGGTACGTTTACACATACAAGGAATTTGCTTTGGTATCTGATGGTGTGAACATAAAGAATACAACAACAAAATGTGGTAAAAAAAAAGAAATATATAAGGATAATAAAAAATAAGTATTTTTAAGAAACAATTTAGCATTAAAAAAGGATGCTAAAGACAAGTATTTACACCAGATTTAAATGAAATTATACAAATAACCTTAACAGCTAAAAAACAAAAACACTTAGGACAATGAGTATAAGGCAAACTACAACTATTTTAAAGTGGAGGGCTGTTCAGACGTTGCAAAATTGTGCAAAAAGCGTAGTGTAAAGTAACTAAGATGAACTCAATTACTGGACCGAAGTACAATTTTGAGGTACTTCTGCTTTACTTGAGTATTTCCATTTTAAGCTACTGTGTACTTCTACCCCACTACAGTTCAGAGGTACATGGTGTACTTGTACTCCACTACATGTATTGAATACCTTTAGTTACTTTACAGATGTGGATGAATGATGTGAAATCTAATCAAGTGTTAAATCAGACTTTAGTTCCACCTGGAGTAAATCCACAAGCTACCCTGCAGTATACAAAGTCATTCAAACTAGCTGCACCTTTACCAGCTTTGAGAACACTTTCATGATCAATCATTATAAAACATATCATATATATTATTCTGAAATGGACCAATCTGCACAATGACTACTTTTACTGTCGCTACTTTCACTATATTTTGATGATAATACTTTTCTACTTTTACTTGAGGAACATTTTGAATGCAGGTCTTTTACTGTAACAGAGTATTCCTACACTCTGGTACTTCTACTTTTACTCAAGTACAAGATCTGAGTACTTCTACTTTTACTCAAGTACAAGACCTGAGTACTTCTACTTTTACTCAAGTACAAGATCAGAGTACTTCTACTTTTACTCAAGTACAAGATCTGAGTACTTCTACTTTTACTCAAGTACAAGATCGGAGTACTTCTACTTTTACTCAAGTACAAGATCTGAGTACTTCTACTTTTACTCAAGATCTGAGTACTTCTACTTTTACTCAAGTACAAAATCTGAGTACTTCTACTTTTACTCAAGTACAAGATCTGAGTACTTCTACTTTTACTCAAGTACAAAATCTGAGTACTTCTACTTTTACTCAAGTACAAGATCTGAGTACTTAGAATAAGATATGAAAGGTAACAGTTCCCACAGGATAATAAGAAATAAAAGTGTTCCCAACGAATCTCTTATAAATATTCTACATGCCAAATCGAAGCAGTTCTATGAAATCTATATACTTGTATTTTCCTGGCCCTAATTTGTCAGCGTGTATTGTTAAGTGACGATAACATGTCTGAGTACTCTAAAAAGCACTCTCTAAATCAAATGTAGTGTCAGTTTTAGAGCCTCACACACCTGCTGCTTCATGTTCAGTTATAATGCCAGCCTGAGGTTTCCTTAGCAAACACAGCAGAGCCGACACCTGCACAGAGGCTTCAGGGAGGATAACTGACAACCTTTACACTCCCAATAAAGCTGCATGCATGCACACTAAGATCAACAGCAGAAGGATTGACAATTTAGGTAAATATATGGCCACATAACCAGTGTTAAAAGCATTCATTTACCATGGGATACATTTCAAATACATTCTTAAAACCGCCTTGAAATAAGTTGATTTGCACATGATGTTAGATCATATGATAAGATAAGATTAATTATTAATGTGTTGGTGCAGCAACAGCAATAACAAACAGAGGATAATTAGAATACAACATTTGTAAATAACAGGTTGAATTGAATTTACAGCAATAGGATAAAGTAAAACTGTTGATGTGTACAGATATGATGATATATATATACATGTCTTTGTGCAAGAGTGATTTAAAAAGTAGGTTTTCTTTTGCACACGGCAAACAAAAGGAGTCAAATCAAGAGAAAGTATGAGAAAACAAACTTTCCCAAACTGTTGCAATTAAATTATGCAGACTTTTTATAAAACTCCCTTCAAAAAATATGATTTATTAAGCAAACTGATTGTGAAATACTGTAAATTAATATCCGTTACAACTTTCAATTTGCACAGAAGAAGTCGTAATGTGCCAGAAGTTTGATTTGTGCTATGGTATGTAATAAAACCTTTAATATTAAATGAATACATCAAATAGTTATACTTTAAATAAGAGAGTTTGCAGCTGAGTTGCTGATCTTACCTTCGTATTGCGCAGCAGAGTGTTGAAAAAGATTCTTGTTGGTTGGTAACGTCCTCTTTTCTCCTTCTCACACCCAGTTACTGAAGACATGACAGAGAGATTTGATTTGATTTTTAAAAAGGCTGCTAAGGATTGTGGGACTTTGGAGGCGCAAAATACCCAGTAAGTTAATCAATATATCAAATCTATAAATAAATGTAAAATATCCAGCTTGTTTTGGGGTTTTTACCTCTGATGCTACCCTTATTCTAAGAAGCAAATCTAAATTAAAACACAAAACCGTATTGACTGCGGGACGAATACTTGTGTCACTGATGGATTTACCACTCTAGTGCTTTTCACGTGGGAGGTTTCGTCAAATACTCTGAGCATTTTTGGAAAGTTTGAATGTCATTGCTCTCGTGTGAACATGAGGACCTTTACTACAGAGGTGCCATCTTACACTCTGTTCACATTAAGTTTGACGCTCATGGTAAAAGACAGAGGCGCCAAAAACGCTAAGTCATTGTCCTCCTTCTCATTGTAGAAAAAACAATAGCCACTTAAATTGTAGACGCAGAGTGAAATATAGAGCAAGACAGATTGGAAATCAAGACATTATCTTGGCTATAAACGCTTAAACAAAATTCAAAAACCACCTTGAACAAACTAATAATAATAATAATCATAATAATAGATTACATTTATTATAGCGCCTTTCAAGGGAAACAAACAAACAAGTAGGGCAAATAATAATGTAAAACAAATTATATGAAAAATAAAACTAAGAAGTTCACTTAAAAAAAACAATGTCTCTAGATTTTTGTAATTAATCCAATATATTTTAAAGAGGACATTTTATGCTAATTTTCAGGTGTATATCAGTATGTAGTGTCTCTACTTTAAAGAGTCCTTTCCTGCTGATGTTCAGGTGTATATCAGTATGTAGTGTCTCTACTTTAAAGAGTCCTCTCCTGCTGATGTTCAGGTGTATATCAGTATGTAGTGTCTCTACTTTAAAGAGTCCTCTCCTGCTGATGTTCAGGTTAATATCAGTATGTAGTGTCTCTACTTTAAAGAGTCCTCTCCTGCTGATGTTCAGGTGTATATCAGTATGTAGTGTCTCTACTTTAAAGAGTCCTCTCCTGCTGATGTTCAGGTGTATATCAGTATGTAGTGTCTCTACTTTAAAGAGTCCTCTCCTGCTGATGTTCAGGTGTATATCAGTATGTAGTGTCTCTACTTTAAAGAGTCCTCTCCTGCTGATGTTCAGGTGTATATTAGTATGTAGTGTCTCTACTGGGACATGTCTCCATGCTTTAATGTTCAAAAAGCTCTTTATTTTTCTCATACTGCCTGTGCTGCAGCACCTCTTTTCACCCTCTGTCTGAAACCAGAGCCCAGTCTGCTCTGATTGCTTAGCTGGCCGCCTCTGTTGTGATTGGTCAACCGCTTAGAGATGTCCCGCCCTTTAGCCTATCTCGTACAATGTGTTGGAGCGCTAGCCGATAGAAGCGCGAGTGTTACATAGTGATGTCACTATGTTCAGGAAGTAAACAAAGGAGTCTGATGGAGGCGTTTCGGGCGGGAGGGGGGATTATTTGGGAGAACACCGTTATTTTTAGCCTTTGCAGACAATTGACATGCACAAAAACCTATATAACACACTACAGGAAAGCGAGAAAAAGCATAATAGGGCCTCTTTAAAATAATACATTGATAAGACACCAAAATAACAACCGTGTTTCAACGATGTATTTTACAAATGTAGCATCAAGTGTGAATCTGACCTCAGATTGAAATCAAATCATTGAGGGCCACATATGAACTTAACTCAATGCATTTCTAAATGTGGCTTTATTTCTGCAAACACCTCATTTGACTCCTGGTGTCAGCAGCACAGAAAGAAGCGGAGTGTTCCTTGATGTGCATGAAGAGAGGCATGTCGCTGTGGTCGGTGTGGTGGGGGGGGCCTTTCAGCTCTCTCCCGGGGGCTCGATGTCAGTGCCGGGAGCTGAGATGGGACGGTGGGTTCGGTGGGTTTCTTTCTACCTCACTTGTTTCGGGGGCTTCTTGTTCCCCTCATGGTGGGTATGAAGCTGCCTTTCTAGGAACCTGAAACTCGGGGGGGAGGAGGGGGAAACGGGAGTGTGACTGAAGTGTAAAGTTCATTTTCCCATTGCTTTGTTTCTGGTACCATGTTTAAAGTTTTTTAATCTGACTTTGTGCGGTATTACGTGGGAAGAAAGTAGTATTTTATGATATGTATTACATTTCATTTCATTTTTTTACTCGTACGTACGTGTCAACCTACCTGGGAATAAACCTGTTTCTGATTCTGATTCTGATTCTAAAAATGCAACCTATAATAACAAATATGTTTCCTCTTTGTTTTAAACTATACAATTTAAAAAAATGTATCAGAAATCAAGAAAAACGATCTCTTTGAAGTACCTACTCTCATTTTACACATTTAAATGAGACACTGTATCTTTAAAAGTAGAAAATAAATTATTTCCCTTACTTAAAACAATTATTTAATTCATTAGAAATTCATAAAAAATGTGTTTAATTCAATACATTGACATTTTAAAGTTGCTTAGGGTGTCTGAACTTTGGTTAGATTTCATTTCATTTCAAACCTTTATTTAACCAGATTGTACTGAAGTATAAGTACTTTGTTTTGTATTTAAAGTTGAAACCCTTGTGATTTTAGTCCTATAAAAATCACTATTTGTGTGACAGTATTGTAATTGTGTCTGGAGTTTAACAGGCTGGAGTCATGCTTTCAGAAAAGTTTCCCTTTGTATGTTTACAATGGAGAAAAGCTAGCACACTGTTAGAAAAATATCACTCGTCACCGGCTTGAGCTTCAATCTCAGGATCCATGTATTTGTGATCCTCTCCAGAATGGAAGTAGTCATCACATACAGAGCATCAACTAGTTCCTGAACAGTGTCCTTCACATGCTGATATCCAAGAGAGGGAGTTACACAGTCATAGATGGAGGAATACCGGTTCAAAGCAGTATTTGTTCAGATTGACTAAGGCCCACGTCAGAAATGATCATGCTTGTCATATGTCTATCTCCATAGAGGGTGAATCATTATGTTAATCACATAGCTATGATATTCCTAAAACAGTGTGTCATGCTTCTCTTCTAGGTAATCATACATCTTGTCATATACACTATTATACACTCAGACGGGCCTTCCTATCATGAGCACCTCTGTCTTTGAAAGAGTACATTCAGTATTTTCCGAAACACACACTCACTCCGTAATACCGCTAAGATTTAATAATTGCAATACTTTAATCAGTGTGCCAAAGACTCAATCACCAATGTACACTTCTTTCTGACAAAAATCACATTTTCCCTAACATTAATATAAATTATCCATTTCTAGAAAAGTATTGGAGGTGAGCTTGACATGTGCCAAAAATTATGAGTGGTTTCATAACATATCACATGAATACAGATACCATCACAGCAGAAAATCATACTAGTTGTTTATTGCACACTAAAATGCTAATTGTTTTAATATATATTTACATTCAGAAAGGTTTGCACTTAACACCTTAAAAAAACAAACCGATAATTATTTCAGTGTCAAGTTATTTTTATCCAATATTGTTGCTGCCACTTGTCATGTACTTTCTCAACATGCCACTGGTAAAAGCAAACAGTGTCTGTACTATAATTAATGACATAATGAGATAAAATGTATCAGTGTTAAATAAAAAGCATCAGATAACAGGCCACAGTCTCATGTCTTGAAGTGTATCTGTGGCTCTCAGTGGTTTCAGAGAGAGAAGTGTTGTGCCACTTTCTTTCTCCCGGCCGACAACTTCTCTCTCTCGCTGTCACCAGTTTGCCCCCACCCACCCATTGTACACTCATTGCCTCGTAACGTTTCATCTTTTTCTCACCGCGTTTGGGGTAAGAGCAAAGGTCACGGACAGTGCAGGACTTTCTTTTTCTTTGTGGGGCGAGGAAAAGGAAGTCCTCGCTTAGTGAGAGTTAAACGCTGCTAAAGTATGTGTTTCTCTACTCTGAAAATGCCTTTGATCTGAGCCTTTGTTCTCTTGTCACATATCTTCACCTGTACCAAACCCAGAGGTGGAAGAAGTACTCAGATCCTTGAATCGAGTAACATTTGAAAAATATAGGCCTTAAAACACTCCGTAACACGTCATTTTAAGTGTGAAAAGTGACTAAAGTATACGTACCAGTGGCGAGCCGTCAGGGCCCTCTAGGCCCTCTGTGAGGGCCTAAGATATTCCAAAAAATAATATTTAAAAACATTTTAAAAATATATATTTTTTTTAAATATATATATTTTTTATATTAGTTTTGTTATATTTTTCATTAGTTTTACCGAAAAAAAACTTGATTTAATTGTATTTAAAATAACATTTCCAAAGAAATAAATCCTTCGAATCTGCCTGTTCAGTCTCTGTTTGAATGTGAAGGGTTACATGAAAGAAGCTCGTCTGGCCCTCTCTGCGATTCACAGAGGGCCCGCAACTGAACGAGAGAGTAATGTCAAATGACAGTACAATTGACCAATCATATCTTCCCTCTAAATGGGTGGGTTTTATTATCGCGGACTTTATGACAAGTTCCGCCCGCTGTGAAACTTTTCTTGTTTCCATAGCAACAACAACTTCCTGTCAACAGCGTGAACTCGCCTTCAAAATACAAGCATGCCAAATTACACTTAAGACATACAACTGCAACGAAAGTAACAAACACGATGCAATATCCTTTTCAATGTCAAAGAACACAAATTGGGTTCACAGGTGTTGTTTTGTGTGGTAGAGGGTCGCTGTCATTGATGCGTTTTGCACCCTGGGCCGTTGTTTTGATATTCCGCTGAAGTATACGCTGTGACGTAATAACTATTTTTTTTTCTTTTTTTCGAGGGAAGGGGTGGGGGTCAGAGGGCCTAGGTATAAAGCTCACGGCTCGCCACTGATACGTACAGAAGCATTATCAGCTAATTGTACTTATATCATAAGTACCCAATATGCATAATCGCTCCTTTCACAATAATATATTTGTATATGATATTATATTATCCTGTTTTCAATCACTAACATACAGTATACATGTTGGGGCATTTTAATGTTACTACAATGTAGTTATGTTATGTTACTAACATTTAAGATTTAAGATTTATTTTGGTTATTGGTAGTGCAATACTGAATCATATCATATAAGCAAATCACAAATATGGAAAAAGTGTAATAGTAAGTATGAGTTTTAAATAGATGTAGTGGAATAAAAGTCGGATAACATTGTTGTCAATAGTCTAGTAATAGTACTAGTAAGAGTAAATGTACTTATTTTTCACTACTGTTCAAACTGATAAAATTGTGCTGTAGGGTTAGGCTAGTTTTAGGGTAATTTGGTTAGTGTTTTAGCGTATAAATGTTTCTGCATAATACATGAACTCTCTCCAATTCTAAATAAGTTAGTAAAATATATTTTAAATACTTCTTGTTTTGTGTCTGAGCCCATATTCTCAAGCTTCAGATTTCCCATTTCACATATCTCCATTCTGTGTTATGATTTGACTTGTATTTTTAACAGTTTGTAAATAAAATAAATCAGAATCACAAAAGTAAATCATACACTGTATAAAAACACAAAGAGACAGTGATAACGAAACGAGAGGTTGCTTTGCATTACATGCTGTATAAACAACAAATGTATATATAGTATAGCCATGGGAACTGTGCACTCAATATCACACATATCACAGGGTCATGTTCAAGAGCAAAGCCACAACAACTGTGCCTCCAACTGAACAGGAAACCAACTCACTGAGGTATTCTTCTTTCTATGATACGACACCTTCCTACTCTCTTCAATCAATTTCCATCAGATTGAAAACCTCAGATTCAGATTAAAACCAATGTTGGTGTTTTCCCTCAAAGAGGTAACTGGGGTAAAGCATTTTGTGGTCAGATAGCTAAATAAAGTGTATGAATATGTTCCATTCTTGACTGTCAACCCCACGTAAAAAAGGTAATATGAGGTGATGGTGGTGAAACTGAAGGTGGGAATGAGGATGATGACATCTTCTCCAATTCAGTCGATCAATTGGGCATCCCCACTCCCACACACATCCAAATCATTGAGATGTGTTTCATGATGCAGGGTGACAGAGCGGTGAGAGGGTGTGAGAACTACCAAGTGAGATGGTACCCAAGCTAGCTGCCGCCTACGTCTGAAAAGCTGGTGATGGTGACGATAGGGAGCCTAAGGGTACAACAAATGACTGTAGTATGTATACTCACAAGAAGAGTACAATAAATAAGCTATTTAATATTAAGCTAATAGCTAATATAAGCTTTTATATAGCTAAAAAAAATATGAGCTATCATTTAGCTAATATTAGCAATTAGCTGGCAGGTATCATTGCTTCTCTATATAAGAGTGATGTTATTTTATGCATGGACCTTGTTCAATAAAGAAACAATAACCTAACATGCCATAATATTATACTGTAATCATATCCACCTTGACAGTATAGCTATGTGAAGCTGTACTTAGGCACAGCAGATTTTTTAGCTAAATGCTAACGTCAGCATGCTACTTTAACGACAAGATGTCAATGTTTAGGCAGGAATGAGTCCTAAAACCTGGTAATGAGTCAGCCTTTTAGCTTCTATTTCATTCATCCCGAAGTCAATGGTTTTTTGAATGTGTTTTTGGTTGGATGCCTGATTAAGGACTGTGGTTAACACAAGCTGGCTAACGTCAAACATTAGCCACCTTTAGCTTAGCGATGGTGACGTGAAGTAATGTGACTGTGTTAAAGTCTAACGTTAGCTTTTTTCATCTGGAGATTAGAATCAGATTATCCTTCCAAACCAGACCTCCTAAACCAGAACAAAAAATACGTTACCTGAAAAGCCCCTTCATTCACTTCTTGAACTTCTTTGATGGAAAACAGTCCTAATGGTTTTCATCTGAATCTGTGATGTTTTCAATCTGATAGTAATTGATTGAAAAGAGTAGGAAGGTGGTGTAAAATGAAACTATTTTCCACTTATAGCTAAATGTTAAAGGTGGGGTATGTAATTCACTTCAGAAACACTTGTTATATTCCATGGAAT